AAAAAAAAAAAAAAAAAAAAAAAAAAAAACACGAAAGCAATCACTTTTTCAAAATACTTTCTAAAATAATAAAAACAAAATTATCATTTTGGTAATATATTAATCTACCTTCACATCAAAAACACTAAGGTCGGCATACGAGATTTATACCAAGAGCTCCCAAGCTGAGTGGCCGCTATTCTAATCTACTAATCTAAAATGGGGGGGGGGATTTTATGAGCTAAAAAGCCCAATAAATAAGTTAAAACTACAAACTTGGGTTCTAAAACCCTTAGACCTATACACACAAGGGGGACAAAAGACAATGAAACTGAATCACATAATATTATAAACCTCAATATTTAAATAACAATTTAATATCACAAATTAACTCACAAATAATCAAACATGTCAAGGAATAACTGATGACATTTAAATCAAATTCTTATCATAAATCATATGCTCATGAATATGAAGTCACAAGCATAATGCCTAAAACCAAAAATCGCACAATGTTATGGAGTCCACTGATGTGTGCTAGCAACACTAATACCGGAGCTAATCACGACACTCACTCTACTGCACAGCGGTCCATCGAATATCCCAGAGGGTCCACCGAACACCTCAAAGGGTCCACTGAATACCCTAAGCTTTAAGCTTAGGTCCATTTACTCCATAGCCACAAACACATACACATGTCAAAGAAATTCCAAACACATACAAAAATAATGTAGTAATAAAATTCCATCCATTAATCCACTTAAAATTTCCACATAATTCACATAGCTTAACCTCATGGTTAAGACATACAAAACAGAACACTTAATCATCCAATTAAGTAAAGGTTATGTCACGCCCCAAAACCAAAATTCGAGGCGCAACACATGTTGTATACTTGTGAGAGGGTCCCACAAATGCACAAGGCTCGGAACTTTATCATACCACAATCTGATACCACAAAATCTGAAGATAAAATTATAAAATTTGCCCTGATATCATAAAATCTCCAAATAAAGTCTAGCTTACAAGATCATGATTTATATCTAAAATCTATGTTCAATTTACAAGATAGCTAACCTTCTAACTCATCACTCCCTTCGTTTTTCCCCGTCCTTGACTTCGCTTCCTAAAATGGTGGACAAGGAAAAACTATGAGATAACTCAGTAAGTAAATATGGATAGCCCTTAATTAAACTTATAGCATGCCAACAAGTATAATCACAAAAAAAAGGTACGAGTACGGAAACAAAATAGACGTCTCCTCTATAGGTCATGGCCGGTGTTATGAACCTCCCACTGGCAGGCACACGATTTATTAGTGTATAATCCCACTAGCAGAATAACAGTATAACAGAAACGAACTGGTTCTATCAGTAACATGTCAACATGTGCTAGCATTATAAACCTCCCACTAGCGGGCACACAAATAACATGACCATATTGGAGACAAAACAAGCAGAAGTTAATAGGAAAATCATAATTCACAAATAATTTCCAGATCATATGGGCAGTTAAGTAAACTCCAAGAAGGCATGCTCAAATCAATAAAAAGAATAATAATTTCATTTCAAATTGATCATACTTGTGTAAAACGGGTTTAGTTCCGTCACCACTTCAACAACAAGCTAAAATGTGCTTTAAAATCGGAGGGCGTTACCATAATTTACTTATTGAGTTATCTCATAGTTTTTCCTTATCCACCATTTCAGGAAGCGAAATCAAGGACGGGGAAAAACAAGGAGAGTGACGAGTTAGAAGGCTAGCCATCTTGTAAATTGAACATAGATTTTAGATATAAATCATGATCTTGTAAGTTAGACTTTATTTGGAGATTTTATGATATCAGGGCAAATTTTATAATTTTATCTTCAAATTTTGTGGTATCAGATTGTGGTATGATAAAGTTCCGAGCCTTGTGCATTTGTGGGAGCCTCTCACAAGTGTACGACGTCTATCGCGCCTCGAATTTGGGTTTTGGGGCATGATAGATTGAGTGGTATTAGAGTTTAGGTTCAATTAAATACTGAGGTTTAATTGAATATCTAGGATTTGTTTAGAACTTGGCTGGCTAGTGGATTTTAGAACTATGGTGAGATGAGTGATGGGGTTATATAAGGGACAATTCTAATTCATGTTGCCTGAATTTTCTAATCCATTTTGATGAGATGGTAATCTGATTGTTCTTGTTTCCTGCCTTCATACCCTATGTAGATCCATGAAATTAATCTTATCCGCCATGTTCTTAAGACCTTGTTTTGAACCTCGGTCATTTTCTGATAGTCTACAATTGTTTAGACTTGTTAATTGAATAGAATTTTTGTATGTTCTTTTGCCACAATTGTAAAATCTAGGGAGTTGTAGAGATCTTTTGTTATTGATCCTGTTAATCTCTACAACTTAGCTAGTTGAGAAATTTGTTCTGTTTGTCACATGACCAGTGGAAGATGGGCAACCCTCTACTTTGTAAGAGATTCAAGGCTATTTTAGCAAATGTTGTGTGTTTTCTAGATGTGTTTTAGGAGCCAGATAACTTGGTAATTTCGCTACTCATTATCTTTCTGAAAGTCTTATAGTGAAGTTTCACTTTTTCCATTTGGAGCTTCATGGTCTTTTCATGTGACTCATTTTTCTATATTGGTTAATCAAAAAATGGTGATCAATTCAATTGAAATTGCCATGTTTTTGTGAAGATTGGCAAGCTATCATAAAGTTAAACTCTCTATTGTTGCTAATCTCTACATCCTTGATACTTGAAACTGCTTGAAACTCTTGAAATCCATCTCGAATCCTTCTTGAGATCGTTTTGTACTTGTTCTTGAAACTGAAATCCAAAGGAAATGGATAATGATTATTGAAGTCCTCATTATCTTGATACTTGTTTGAAATTAATTCTTGCATTGTTCTTGGAACCTTATCTTGAACCTTGCCTGGAGTAAAGTCATGTTAGCATCCTTTTCTTGAAAATTAATTTATATTTGGTTTTGGAATCTATTTTGAATTGTCCTTGAAAACCATTCTTGTCCTAACCCTTGCTCTTGCTCAAATTCTTTATATTGCTCTTGTTCAAATCCTGCATATTCTGCTAGTTCTTGTTTTAGTATACCTGTTGATCTTGATTTTTGATTTTTTGTTCATATGGACACCTCTTTAAAAGGGGTGATGATCATTAGAAAATACCTATATGAGGCATCATAATTCTTGTCTCTTGCAAGTGTTAATCTCTGTATCTTGATGTCTTAGCTTTGACTTGACTTTAGGATGTCTAGGATGACTTGATTGTAAATCTGCTGAGCCTCCATGGGCTACGAGGTGAAGGGGTAGTCTTTGAAGTACCTGATGCCCTAGAGTTTTGTTCCAAGAGAAATGGTTCTTTTATCTGACTACTTTGATTTTTGTTTGCCTTTTTAATTAGAAGACAGTAAGCTTCTAAGTATCTTGATCCCCACTATTGATTATTCTGTTACTTAATTCGTGTTACTTGGGGACATCCTAGTTATATCTACTCTTGAATGCGTGTTCTGGTTGTCATTATTGAAATCTCTTTTGTGGGCCTAATCCTTGAATTCTATTGCTTGTCTCATGGTTAACTCTTGTCTCTCAATTTTGACTGCTTGGTTAAATTTGATCTTGATTTTTTAGTGAATGCCATTTTGTTGCTGAATTTTTTAGGCATTTTACCCTGCACTCTTTTGTTTCAGTATTCTTCCAAGCATTCATATTTTCCATTGATTTCATTTTGATGCTATTTTGGAAATTTCACATGTCATTTGATGGGTCTAACTTTTAACTCTTGTTAATTGCTAAAATCTGTCTCTTGATTCCAGTTGTTTTGTTAAACATGATTTTACTTATTGGTTAACCTTGTTTTGTGGCAGAGTGTATAAGGCATCCATGCACTCATTCATTCATTCATGATTCGTACATCCATTGGATGCTTATCTGTCTTTGATAGAGTTCAAAATTTTGTTGTACTCGTCTTTAAATCCATGCCATTCTTTACCAACTCGTCCTTGTGTAGGGTCCATAGCGTGACCCTGCAATTGTTCTTTTGTGGCTTTGGTAGGATTTATTTCTATTCCTTGTGCTTCCCATATCACCCCAGCCTCCAGAGCTTGTTTCATGGTAAATCTTGTTAAGTAGTTAATATTCTACTTTTATGATTAGTTGTGGTTTGATATCAAAGTGGTGCAGCAGAAGTGTAGTAGGCCATGTTCTATTTATAGGAAGTTGATGGGGCATTTGTTTTGTCTTGGATTGTGTGAAGCCATTCACCACTCGAAATGATCCTAGATTTGAGTTTCGGGGACAAAACTTCTTTTTAGGAGGGGTGAATGTAATATCCCAAATTTTTTGATATTTTAGCATTTAGCTAGGGATTTAATTGTGAGGAAATAATATTGTTGAGCTTAATGGCAAAAATTTCTAAACTTGAAGGACTTAAAAGAGAAAATTTTGGATAAGGACCAGTTGATATTTTTTTTCCTCCTTGTTTCTTTCTTCCTCAGCCACCCGATTTTGCTTTTCTTTTTCCTCCCCTACACCGAACAAGAAGGAGACCCAAGCCGACAGCACCCCTCTGAAAACTAGTAAGAAAGCTTGGTTTTTGCCTTTCTTTTCTTGTTCAAGAACAAGATTTAAAGCTTAGAAATCTCCGCCCCTACAAAGAAATTTCCAGATCTGCTCTGCTCTTCCTCCCCTGTCCGTTAGTTTCTGCTATGTGGTGTGAATTTTTGGGCTTTTTCTAGTAAGCAACAACCATGATTTCCTCTCTTCAGCTCTAAATTGGCTTGGGTTCACTCTAATTGCTTTTATTTCTATCAATTTCGTGTTAGTTCTTTGCAAATCCCATCCCTGCCATACCCGCCAGATCTGGTTTTGCTTGCCGAAAAATTTCAGTAAGATGATAGCTTCCTTAAGTCTAGATTTTGATAAATTAATTGCTGCCCTGAATCTTCGAATTTTCTGCCTTTGATTTGCCCTTGTACTGTTCGGATTTTCTGCTGAAAGAGGGAAGAATTCCGATAGCAATGAGATGATTTTTCTTAGTTTAATTCATGTAGAAAAATTATCTTGATTGGCTGCTGTGGTTTTGGAGAAAAATCTTGTGACTTGTTGTGTTGCTAAAGCCTTGTTTCTCCATATTTGTGTTTGTGGGATTGGGAAACCAAATTAGCGAATTTTGCTCTAGAACCTCTTGTTGAAGAGAATTTTTGGATATCATAATTTTACTTAAAAATATTTGGATTTTGGGGAGATATACGGGTTGAGAAAAAGGAAGTTTTATATTATGGTTGAATTTCGTGTGAAGCTCGTTGGCTAGTAAATTTGTCAGGTTGTGCTAATGATTCTAGTAAGGTTTGAATGTATTTATTTGGAATATTAGGTGTTGTTATGGCTTAGAGCACTTGGATTGAGTCCTCAGTTTTATGTGATTTGAGGTAAGTAAATTATGGTAATGCCCTCCAATTTTGAAGCACATTTTAGCTTGTTTTTGAAGTTGTGGCAGGACTAAACTCGTTTTACATAAGTATGATCTATTTGAAATGAAATTATTGTTCTTTTTATTGATTTGAGCATGCTTTCTTGGAGTTTACTTAACTGCCCTGATGATCTGAAAATTATTTGTGAATTTTGATTTTTCGGTTAACTTCTGCCTATTTTGTCTCCGATATGGTCATGTTATTCGTGTGCCCGTTAGTGGGAGGTTTATAAACACTAGCACATGTTAACATGTTACTGATAGAACCGGTTCGTTTCTGTTATACTATTATCCTGCTAGTGGGATTATATACTAGTAAATCATGTGCCTGCCAGTGGGAGGTTTATAACACTGGCCATGACCTATAGAGGAGACGTCTATTTCATTTTCGTACTCGTATCTATTTTTTTGTGATTATATTTGTTGGCATGCTATAAGTTTAATTAAGGGTTATCCATATTTACTTATTAAGGTATCTCATAGTTTTTCCTTGTCCACCATTTCAGGAAGTGAAGTCAAGGACGGGGAAAAATGAGGAGAGTGATGAGTTTAGAAGGCTAGCCATCTTGTAAATTGAACATAGATTTTAGATATAAATCATGATCTTGTAAGCTAGACTTTATTTGGAGAATTATGATATCAAGGCAAATTTTATAATTTTATCTTCAGATTTTGTAGTATCAGATTGTGGTATGATAAAGTTCCGAGCCTTATGCATTTGTGGGACCCTCTCACAAATGTAC